GGGGTGTTCTCCCTTTCTTTTCCTAAAAAAAAAAAAAAAAAAGCCGCAAATCTGGATATTTACATATAATATGTTTACATAGGCAACTCCTATCAAACACATCTGTAGGCTAGATCTGGTCCACAGTCTACTAGTGTATGACCTCTAGGCCAAGAAGAAGAAAGCACTTGATGGGTCAGTAGTTCTTACCCTGGAGTCCAGAATAAAATTCTGTGACGGAATGGGGAAACTATATATTTCCTTATGTGACATAATTGACATATCTCTTCATACATCTCTACACTTAAAAACAAAAATAAATTGGGACCAGCAGTTAGCGTAATGGCTATGTCACTGGACTCCCATGTAGTCAACCGTGGTTCAAGTCTCGGACCCGGCGGCTTAAACTCACGCTGCGCACGTGTGCGTGCATGCCCAAGATCCCAAGAGGAGAATGGAGGAGAAGGGATTGCGGCATGGCCATCCTCCCTGGAGGGTGATTTCTCGCTTTCTATCTCTCTGTCTCTCTCTGTCTTTCTGGTGAGCACATGCTCCTTTTAGCAAAAAACCTCTCCAAAAAAATAAATAAATAAATTATACGCCTTTACTTGTAATAGATATTTAATATCTCTTCATGAACCTCAGCAACAAACAGACCACAGTTGTACCAGGAGTATCTGTAAATTTCACCCATAGAAACCACAGATATTTTCATTTCATATCAGAGTATTACAGCATCTCACAATATCTTCTATGCACATCACCACTTTGAAATGATGGCCAAATCAAGATTTATCCAAGAAGACATTGTTTAATATATTAGAAAAGAAGAATATATAACACCATGACATGGGTTTGCTTTTATTTTATTGGGTCATCAGGAAACTTGTGACATATTTTTACATAGAAAAACATATCGTGACTTCCCCTTTTTACATAGAAAAACATATTGTGACTTTCCCAATGACCTGATAATATTCGTAAAATAGTATTCCATCATGTTTGGTTGCCTCTGTAATGCTGCTTTGTTAATATTTAACACATTTAGAAAGATTATTCTGAGAAGGGCTCCATGGGCTTCACCACATTGCAAAGACTTCCAAGGTACACACAATTCACACACACACACATGCACGCATGCACACACCAAGAACTCTTGAAGCAAATGAGGGAATAAAGGAGGTGAGGCAAAAGATTACTCCAAAATCTTTGACGAACTGTTTATATGTGGCCATGTGGCACTTGTCAGTCCCTGACTGTCACTGGCACTCTCATTAACTCTTTCAGGCTTCTCAAGTGCTGTGGTGAAGTCTAATTTCACCAACCAAGAGTCACTGAGTTTTGGCAAAAACAGAAGCCTACTGTTGTTAAACTCTGTTATTAAGTGAGCTACCCTAGGAACCACATCTCACGCAGTAAATAGGCCACGCTGGAACGTAAGCTATGTAGTTAGAGATGCAATTCTTTTGTTTGAGGTCTTGCTGGGCGGAGGTGTTTCTGATGGCTTGCTCACCAGCCCATTTAACTAAAACCTCTGCTGGTGGATGATGGCTGGTTGCTTTGCAGGTCTGGGAAAAATACTTGGCCGGCACCCCATCTGGGCTGCCTGCTCGGCTTGGGTTTTTGCAAATCTGAGCTCAGTTGTGGGTTTATTTAGTTCCAGGAGTCTGGGGTTGGCTTTTCACATTCCTAGTTCTCATATGTCTGCAAAGCTTCAGTTTGGTTTTACGAATGATCCTATGGTATAACACCAGCTCCTGAAGAGTAACTTAAGTTTTGGTAATAACAATAAAACAGAAATAGGGAACTCTCAGAGAATATTAGTATGGGCATATGAATTAAGCCATATGGCAACAAATCTGCTCAAGGGTAATAATCTTAGTTTGGACAGAATTGAATTCAAGACCTCAGCCTTGATAGTGTTTCCCACATCCATTTCCTCTAAATATGAAGCTTTCCAGATATGTATTTTAATAATATGTGTTCCCAATTCATCTTCAGACAGTCCTTTAAAAAGAAGTTACTACCAACAAGCTCTTTTTTCAAATGCTCTGATAGTTTTTGACTTCCAGGTAGCTGAATACCTAAAGTTATAAACAGGTCCCCAGACCTCTCTATAGCACCCAAGGATACAGTTCTGTTCATTTGATTCATCATGATAACTCTGACCTAGACTATGGTAGGTGTTCAAAAATATTAATTGGTTTAATAGATAAATAAATTAATATAATATGAATAAGTATAATGATATGCTTACTTTCAAAGATTATCAGAAGAATTATTTGAGATACCATATGTGAAAACTTTTATAAGTCATATGTAAATGAATAAACGGATTCACTAGTACCATAAAGAGCTAACTAACCTCACAAAACCACCTTCATGTTATGTTTAATGAGAGGCACAGAACACAGAATATTTCTACCAATTCCAATGGCCTTTTGGTTATATAAAAGCCTGCTTCTGGGAACCAGGAGTTAGCATAATGGCTATGTCGCTGGTCTCCCACGTAGTCGACCACGGTTCGCGTCCTGGACCCGGTGGCTTAAATCTCACGCCAGGCGCATGTGCATGCGTGCCCAAGACCCCGAGAGGAGAATGGATGAGAAGGGATTGCGGCGTGACCACCCCCCTGGGGGGTGATTTCTCTCTTTCTGTCTCTATGTCTCTGTCTGGCGAGCACATGTGCCCTATAACGAAAATCTCTCTCAAAAAATAAAATAAAATAAAATAAAAATAAATAAATAAATAAAAGCCTGCTTCTAATCAGAATCGTGCAATAGCCATGATTAGTATTAATATTTGCTGTCATTCCACACTCTTTTCATCAATTTTACCCAACTTCCAGGGACCTAGGGTTCTCACAAAATCTGATACATTTTAAATATATTTAGCATTGAAGTTTCTCCCGTCGTTCTCCCACACACTGGCATGTTCTCTACACAATCAAAACTAACCTTTCAGGTGAGGCTTGGAAGCAGCACACAGCTCTCCAGGCATGTGAGTTCCAGCACCTGCATCCCCAACCCGAGCATTCTAGGAGATCGGACCATTTTGTAAGGATGCCCGAAATAAATACTGACCACCTTGGTGGGAAACAGGTTCAACTCTTGGCAGACATGTGTATTCCTATTGATGAAAATGACGATAAAATTGGGATTGAGACTAAGAATTGTCATCTGAATGAAAACATTGAGAAAAGATTGTTGCATCGAGCTTTTAGTGTCTTCTTATTTAACACTGAGAATAAGTTCCTGCTACAAAAAAGATCAGATGCTAAAATGACCTTTCCAGGCTGTGTTACCAATACTTATAGTCATCCATTAAGCAACCCAGGCAAGCTTGAAGAGAACGATGCCATTGGAGTAAAACGAGCAGCACAGAGGCAGTTACAAGCTGAGCTAGGGATTCCTATGGAAGAGGTTCCATCCACCAGCAGAAATTAATTATTTAACACGAATGTACCACAAAGCTCAGTCTGATGGTATGTGGGGTGAACATGAAATTGATTACATCTTGTTTGTGAGCAAGAGCGTAACTTTGAATCCAGATCCTAGTGAGGTTAAAAGCTACTGTTATGTGTCAAAGGAAGAATTGCAGGAACTTCTGAAAAAAAAGCAGCCCCTGGTGAAATTAAGCTAACTCCATGGTTTAAAATTATTCCAGATAATTTTCTGTTTAAATGGTGGGATAACTTAAATCATTAAAAGCCAGTTTGTTGACCATGAAAAAATTTATAGAATGTGAGAGCATAGATGAGTGATTACTGAAAATTTTCTCTGCTTTTAAGTTTAGAATGTTTTTTGTTTTAAATGTGATTCCTTTAGGAGAACTTTCATATGATACATTCATACTTTACAATCAGAGTTAGCATAGAAAAAAAACTGACTTGTAATATTGTATCACACACCCCACATCTATGTGCTGTTCTTTGTTAAAGATATGAGAAATAGGGAACCAGCAGTTAGCGTAATGGCTATGTTGCTGGACTCCCACGTAGTCGACCGTGGTTCACGTCCCAGACCCGGTGGCTTAAAACTCACGCCGGGCGCGTGTGTGTGTGCTGCCCAAGATCCCGAGAGGAGAATGGAGGAGAAGAGATTGCGGCGTGACCATCCCCCCGGGGGGTGATTTCTCGCTTTCTGTCTCTATGTCTCTCTCTGTCTGTCTGGCGAGCGCACGCGCCCTACAGTGAAAATCTCTCAAAAAAAAAAAGATATGAGAAATAAAGTGAGAGAGAACAAATAAAAATGTAACCTATCCAGGGGACCAACAGTGGAATGGCTGTGTCGCTGGACTCCCATGTAGCCAACCACGGTCCAAGTCCCCCACCCAGTGAATTAAACTCATGCTGGTCATGAGTGTGCGTGCGTGCCCGAGATCTCGAGAGGAGAATGGAAGAGAAGGGATTGTGGCGTGGCCATCCCTCCTGGGGGGTGATTTCTCGCTTTCTGTCTGTCTCTCTCTGTCTTTGTGGCAAGTGCACGTGGCCTATAGGGAAAACCTCTCCAAAAAAAAAAAAAATTAACCTATCCGAACCCCCAGTTATGATGAATTTGAACAAATAAATGAAGTTTTTCAGTTTTGCTATGTTGTAAACATCATTTTCAGACACTTATAAAGCACTTTTCCATTTGCCAGGTGTTTTATATAATTTTTTATCATTGTCTAGAAAAATGAGCAAAAGAAAAGTATTTGCTTGGCTGCTTCAAATCAATCTAATTAACTGTTCATATTAACAGACTAAACTGGCAGTCTAGGCTTAAGGGAAACTACGTGGTAAATGTTCTAATTTCTATCATTCTAGAAGTATCATTTTGATACTTAAAGGTAACCATTGCTTTTGGTAATGAGATTGGTTAGCTTAAATCTTTTAAATGGTATTTACCAATTAATAAAATCTGTATTTTCAGAATTAAAATGGACAGAGAGGCTACTCATAAAGTGGAATTGAGTCCTACTCTACAGCAGGGTTTCTAGCCTTGGTATTATTGACATTGACATTGGATAATTCTTCATTGTTATGATTCATCCTGTGCATTGTAAGATTTCTAGCAGCATCTCTGGGCTCTGCACACTAGGTGCCATTATGACCCTTTCTCCCTTGACAACTAGAATTATACCAGATATTGCCAGATGTCCCCTAGGGGGAGGGCAGTCATTTATGAACTGCTGTTTCATAAAGTCAGATCACATGTGGAAAGGAGGGGAAAAATAAAAGAAAGGCTAATATTGATGTTAAATAGATTCAGGTTGTAGAATATATGTATGTTATATTTAAAAATCATACCTTGATTAATGCACTTCATAAAGCAAATTTCTCGAGTTTGAAATAATAATATAGCTTTCCTATAAAATAATGAATAGCGAAACAAAAGTTTGTTTAAAAAAACTAAATGGTTTACAAAGTGAATAATTCATTTCTTGTTAGTCCAAAACAGTTCATTTATAATTGAAGACAAGACTATGCAGCAAGCATTTGTTTTATTGAAAAGTAAAAGCAATAAAAAAAATTACTGCATTAAAAAAAATTTTTTTTAAAAAACCTAATCTTTTTGATGTTACATTCTTTCTCAGCATTGCAAAGCTAGCCTGAAAAGCTTTGTGCATGTGGGCACATTCTCCACAGGTTACTGTTTCATGTGCTGTTTCCTGGGTGGTGTGTGTGTGTCTTTCCTTAGGAACAGTTACTTCAAGCACGCTAGCAAAGTGGTGAGGGAATATGGGCTCCTCCAAAATTGCTCCATATTGTACCACCTTGTGAGCTTCCTGCTTTGTCTGTGCATAAATCTAGCCCTGGTAACATGTGTCAAAGATTTTTTTTTTTTTTGCCCCTCCTTTACTCCAGCACCCTAGGAGATTTGGCCAAATTGCTCCCCCTTCTCTGCTTTAGAGTTTTTGCCTGTAAGTTGAAAAGAAGGAAAACGACATCCTAGATAATCTAGCCCTTTCTGCACCTAAAAAAGCAATCATTCTGGGGAGTTTACTTAGTGCGCCTCATATAAAATAAACCAAGTTAACAGAAAAATCCAAGAGAGATGGTGCTATTTTTCTCGCTGTCTTCTGGCATCAAACTCTTAAGGATAATGAAATAATTTAGGAGGCAAGAGGTTAAAACTAAATATCTTATGGTATATAGGCTTTGTGAACACCACAAAGTGATTTTTGGAGAGGACCAAACTCGTCTCCTATGAAGAGAACTCTATAAATCCTACAGCGCTAGAAAGCACATACTGTACAGTGCGTTCTGATCCCTGCTTTTATCTCCTCCACTTTCAGGATCGTGTGACACCTACAATGATTCTGCAGGCCACTTATTACTGGTCATGCAGCTCTATTGCAGGTTTCAGTATGTCTAGCCTGAGTTCAATCTTCAGTTACATCAAGATTATCATCTTCACTGTGGAAAAGAAGGTCTAAATTCTTATTTTTTTAATGGGGAAATTATGTCTTTAAGATTTTTTTCAATATACAAAAGCATAAATATTCCTATTACGAGATGAGCTAGTAATGCGACTATTCAATGACTTTATCTCTTGTATAGATAGCATAGGCACACATACACAAGGCCTGTTGAATAAGAGAATCATCTCACGGTACCAACTACAAAAATATACACAAGCCTAGTCTACCTTTCTGGTCATAACTAACCTACTGCAGCAAAGAGAAAGATCCCCTAAAGCTTAGAAAAAAATAAATTGATTTTTTGATCATGTGCTAACCCAAGGGGGATGTTATCAGTTGGTGACTCTGCTACCTGGTAACCATTCAGGGACCCAGGCTAAAGGCTGAAGATAGCTAAGAGCTATCTTCAGGATCTGTCCCCTACTAACAACCTGAATTCTGTTTATGGGTTTAAGAATAAAACATAAACTGGCAATTGTATCACTTCCTTTTTTTTTTTTTTAAGAGGTTTTTGCTATAGGGCACGTGTGTTACCAGAAAGACAGAGAGACAGAAAGCAAGAAATCACCCATCAGGGGGGATGGCCACACTGCAATCCCTTCTCCTCCATTCTCCTCTCAGGATCTAGGTCACATACGCATACATGCCCGGCGTAAGTTTTAATCCACCAGGGCTGGGACTCGAACCACGGTTGACTACATGGGAGTCCAGCGATATGGCCATTACGCCAACTGCCAGTCCCCTGTCACTTCTGTTTTAAAATGTGACTCATAAATCATCTTATCTCTTCACCTTATAAATTTGCCTCTTATCATGCTATGACTTTTAAAAGTATTTTTACACCTTCATGTGTAGTGGGCAAACTATTAATGAAACATAATACAGTTCTCATGTTTTAAGATCTATTGTGCAAATAAATGTATCTGCAGGTCTATTCCTTGTATACATGATTTTTCCATTCAATAAAAGTCAACGATCAGTAATAAAGTCTATTTTTTTAATGCCTTATTTGCAAACATGGTGATGGGCCCACGTCAGACTCTCCTTCCCACAGAGGGACCTAAACTTCAAAATACAAAGAAGTGTGTTCTTTTGTGTTCCTTTCTTGTTGACACTGGATTTTTGTTCGGAACAAAAATAAAGCCTTTGTTTTTTCAAAAGTTGTGACTTTGACCAAAAAGGAAACATAAAAAGACAGCCATCTGCCGGTATAAGCCAAGAGACAGTAGTGACTGTTTTTATTTTTATAGTGTATTGTGAAAGACTTTTTTTTTTAAGTTTCAGAGATTGCTAAGAATAAAATACTTTTGAAGGTCTATGAGTCTTTATAAAAACATGACTTGAAGGATGAATAGTGTTTGTCTCTGGGGTAAATAGAAAGTCAAGAAAAATAAGTCAGTTTATACATGAATATATTTACCAACCCAGAAGATTAAAAAATTTTGCTATTCACATTTCCAGAATACAAATGTGTTTACTGCCATAGATTATCAAGAAATATTACTGGTGAAAGCTGTGATGTGGCTTCTTCATTGGACTAGACCACCTAGGCAAGCAGAGCCTCAGCCAGGCAAACTCGCTGGAGTTGCATGGCCCTGAAGACTATGGGGTGGTGCTGACCCAGGGGAGGAAAGCCACCCTGTGGGATTGAGAAAGTCACTTCTGAGGATCATGTGGTCTCATGAGCATCAGAAGCCTGACTACGTCAGCAGCCTATTTATAGACCCAATGTTCAGGTATTGAGACTCCGAGATAAACAAGGTCCCATTCTCACAGTTCCCTACTCCATGACAGGGTCCCCTGTAGCACCTCCATCAGACAGTTAAGACACTCCACACCTAGTGCTGCATCTCACAGAACAGCTCCTCTGCCTTCCCATGACTATCCCACAGTACTTTTGGCCCAAATCCTTTCCGGGTACATTTCCTTTCTCCATTACCAGGTAGAAAAGTGTGATGAGGCATGAAAAATAGTATCATGAGCCAAAGAAAACACTCTATTTGAAAAGACCATTCTGTTTTATCGTTGGATAAAAAATAATTTTTGTTTCTAACTTCAAATGCCAGGCTATGAACTTGCCAAAAACCCAAAAGACTACAGGATGACGTGGTCTAGAGGACAGTGCGGTCGACACCAGAGAAGGGAGCGACCAGACAGAAGCCTGGAAAAGAAGGAGCCTGAATCAGCAGATATGGCTCCAGGTTTTTACTTCGAAGGCACTCACTGCCTGTCCAGGCTTTTTCGTGACACAAAAGCATGAGGTGAGGCTAGTTACACATATTCTCTCTGCTTTATTAAGCCTGCAAAACTTAGTTATATTTGTATTATTAAGGACAGTTAAGATAGTTAAGAACCAGTCTCATACCTTGTAGCATACCCATTATTAACAGAAACACTTGCAAACTAAGGTTATCAAACACATGAATATATCGGGGTGCCAGAAAAGTCATGATGTATTTTTTCTATATTTTTCTATGCAAAATGGCATCATGACTTTCCTGACAACCCGATATGATCAATTTAAAATACTCCTGGCAGGTAATCCAATTGAAAAACAGTTGCCTTCACACCACTCAGGAAGGACTGAATAGAGAAAGACGAATAAGGAAAAACAACTAAGAAAAAGTAGGGCAGCATTGGAAATCAAAACAAACTTATATCTGAAATGATGTGATTAATAAAGTAGCCAAAGAGTGGTACTCAGACATCAAAGTAATGCAAGAACAGGGACATTTTCCAAACCTACATGTAGAAGAAGGGAATCGTTTCACTGGACCAACTACATCAATATACACAAAACTAGTCTCCCTTTCTAGTCATAACAAAAATTACTTGAAACGTAAACAAAATGAAGGAAAGAATTTTGGTGGGACCCAGGCTAAAGGCTGAAGATAGCTAAGAGCTATCTTCAGGATCTGTCCCCTACTAACAACCTGAATTCTGTTTATGGGTTTAAGAATAAAACATAAACTGGCAATTGTATCACTTCCTTTTTTTTTTTTTAAGAGGTTTTTGCTATAGGGCACGTGTGTTACCAGAAAGACAGAGAGACAGAAAGCAAGAAATCACCCATCAGGGGGGATGGCCACACTGCAATCCCTTCTCCTCCATTCTCCTCTCAGGATCTAGGTCACATACGCATACATGCCCGGCGTAAGTTTTAATCCACCAGGGCTGGGACTCGAACCACGGTTGACTACATGGGAGTCCAGCGATATGGCCATTACGCCAACTGCCAGTCCCCTGTCACTTCTGTTTTAAAATGTGACTCATAAATCATCTTATCTCTTCACCTTATAAATTTGCCTCTTATCATGCTATGACTTTTAAAAGTATTTTTACACCTTCATGTGTAGTGGGCAAACTATTAATGAAACATAATACAGTTCTCATGTTTTAAGATCTATTGTGCAAATAAATGTATCTGCAGGTCTATTCCTTGTATACATGATTTTTCCATTCAATAAAAGTCAACGATCAGTAATAAAGTCTATTTTTTTAATGCCTTATTTGCAAACATGGTGATGGGCCCACGTCAGACTCTCCTTCCCACAGAGGGACCTAAACTTCAAAATACAAAGAAGTGTGTTCTTTTGTGTTCCTTTCTTGTTGACACTGGATTTTTGTTCGGAACAAAAATAAAGCCTTTGTTTTTTCAAAAGTTGTGACTTTGACCAAAAAGGAAACATAAAAAGACAGCCATCTGCCGGTATAAGCCAAGAGACAGTAGTGACTGTTTTTATTTTTATAGTGTATTGTGAAAGACTTTTTTTTTTAAGTTTCAGAGATTGCTAAGAATAAAATACTTTTGAAGGTCTATGAGTCTTTATAAAAACATGACTTGAAGGATGAATAGTGTTTGTCTCTGGGGTAAATAGAAAGTCAAGAAAAATAAGTCAGTTTATACATGAATATATTTACCAACCCAGAAGATTAAAAAATTTTGCTATTCACATTTCCAGAATACAAATGTGTTTACTGCCATAGATTATCAAGAAATATTACTGGTGAAAGCTGTGATGTGGCTTCTTCATTGGACTAGACCACCTAGGCAAGCAGAGCCTCAGCCAGGCAAACTCGCTGGAGTTGCATGGCCCTGAAGACTATGGGGTGGTGCTGACCCAGGGGAGGAAAGCCACCCTGTGGGATTGAGAAAGTCACTTCTGAGGATCATGTGGTCTCATGAGCATCAGAAGCCTGACTACGTCAGCAGCCTATTTATAGACCCAATGTTCAGGTATTGAGACTCCGAGATAAACAAGGTCCCATTCTCACAGTTCCCTACTCCATGACAGGGTCCCCTGTAGCACCTCCATCAGACAGTTAAGACACTCCACACCTAGTGCTGCATCTCACAGAACAGCTCCTCTGCCTTCCCATGACTATCCCACAGTACTTTTGGCCCAAATCCTTTCCGGGTACATTTCCTTTCTCCATTACCAGGTAGAAAAGTGTGATGAGGCATGAAAAATAGTATCATGAGCCAAAGAAAACACTCTATTTGAAAAGACCATTCTGTTTTATCGTTGGATAAAAAATAATTTTTGTTTCTAACTTCAAATGCCAGGCTATGAACTTGCCAAAAACCCAAAAGACTACAGGATGACGTGGTCTAGAGGACAGTGCGGTCGACACCAGAGAAGGGAGCGACCAGACAGAAGCCTGGAAAAGAAGGAGCCTGAATCAGCAGATATGGCTCCAGGTTTTTACTTCGAAGGCACTCACTGCCTGTCCAGGCTTTTTCGTGACACAAAAGCATGAGGTGAGGCTAGTTACACATATTCTCTCTGCTTTATTAAGCCTGCAAAACTTAGTTATATTTGTATTATTAAGGACAGTTAAGATAGTTAAGAACCAGTCTCATACCTTGTAGCATACCCATTATTAACAGAAACACTTGCAAACTAAGGTTATCAAACACATGAATATATCGGGGTGCCAGAAAAGTCATGATGTATTTTTTCTATATTTTTCTATGCAAAATGGCATCATGACTTTCCTGACAACCCGATATGATCAATTTAAAATACTCCTGGCAGGTAATCCAATTGAAAAACAGTTGCCTTCACACCACTCAGGAAGGACTGAATAGAGAAAGACGAATAAGGAAAAACAACTAAGAAAAAGTAGGGCAGCATTGGAAATCAAAACAAACTTATATCTGAAATGATGTGATTAATAAAGTAGCCAAAGAGTGGTACTCAGACATCAAAGTAATGCAAAAACAGGGACATTTTCCAAACCTACATGTAGAAGAAGGGAATCGTTTCACTGGACCAACTACATCAATATACACAAAACTAGTCTCCCTTTCTAGTCATAACAAAAATTACTTGAAACGTAAACAAAATGAAGGAAAGAATTTTGGTTTCAAATATCGAGAATTCAAAGAGAGAGAAGTTATTTCCTACAAAGGCTGAAAACCTAATATATATATAAAACCTAATATATATACACACACACACTACATACACACATATATATATATTGGATTTTTATATATATTTTATATATATAATATATACACACATTATATATATTATATATAATATGTATATCACACACATATTATATATTATATAATGTGTATATATATTATATGTGTGTATATACATATTATATATAGAATATATTATATGTGTGTGTACAAATTTATATATATATAAAGTTAAGGACAGTTAGGATAGTTAAGGACCAGTCTCATACCTTGTAGTACACACACACACACACACACACACACACACTCTTGTGTGTATTCTGTAAGGGAAAATTCTTTTTTTATTGAGAGCCTGCAATTATTTTGTTTTCTTGTACAATTTTTGAAAAAGAGACTGTAAATATTTACATTATTAAGCACATATTTAATGAAGGCAGAAACCAAATACAAAAGTTTTAGTAGAGGCATTTTATTCAAGAAAAGATCTGAATACATTTTGTGATGGCCTGAAAAAACTAGAGTGTTTTGTTTATAAATTAATGCTGTTTGGAAAATTATAGACAGTTCCCTTACAGCTTTTCATTATATGCTGTCAATTAACCTGAATAAAAATCAGATTCATAAACTAAAATTTTCTTCTTGCACAGTAAGAAAATCTGGCAATTACTATTTTAACCAAATATATGATCATAAGAAAGCTGTCAAATTCAGGTTGTGAAACAGTCTCTAAAATAATTAGCTATGACCCTTCAAAAATATCAATGTTATGAATGACAAATGAGGGAACTATTCTAGATTAAAGGAAACCAAATATATATAACAACCATATGTAATGCAGAAGGGTATTTCAAAAAGTTCATGGAAAAATGAAAGTAAGATATACATTTATTTTGATTTAAAAAATTGAAATCCATACACAGTATTTTCATAATACATGTTTGTCATAAACTTTTTGAAGGCTCTTCGTATAATCTTTTATTTGATCTTCGATCAAAAATAACTTCAGTAGGGCTCATTCCATAGCCTAGCAGTTAAGGAACAGAGATCTCACATGGCCAACAAACACAGTTCAAATCCCAACCTTGGCGGCCTGATAAACATGTCAGATGTGTGTGCGAGCATGCCCCAAAATCCAGTGAAATGCAGAAATAGAAGAGAAGGGATTGCTGCATGACCATGCTTCATCGGGGAATGCTATCTCTCTCTCTCTCTCTTTCTCTCTCTTTCTCTCTTCACCCTCTCTCTAGCAAGCGCATGTGCCCTTTGGAAATTCAAAAATTAATAAGTACTATAAAGAACATTTGGACATAATTGGAGCAATTTCAATATGGACTATGTATTAGATATGACTGACTCGATAGTAAGTATAATGGGTGATTTTATAGATTATTCTTAGGAAATCCCTTAAGTATTTAGAAGTAAAGTGTCATGATGTCTGCACGTTGTTTTCAAATATACTTACAGACATGCATATGTGCACACAATATAAAGATGTAACAGCAAAAAAATGCAATAGCAAATGTTACAAATGTTAATGATTGATGTGTTTAGGTAGAGTATATGAGTTTCATTGCAGTATCTTTCAAATTCTCAGTAAGTCTGAAATTGTTTAAGGATGCTTAATAGTAGGTAAGGGTTATTTCTTTCTTGAGGCTACGGTCCAAAACCGCCCTTTGAGAACAGCTTCTCTAAATCAACCTACTAATTTGCAGGAACTACAAAGGACAGAGGAAACATGTTAAATAATACTGTAGGGATGCTATCAACAAAACTAGACTGTGAGTAAGTCTCTGTCTGTAGTTCCTTATCATTATTTCTCCTATTTATTTGGCATTTGTCCATTATTTAATTAGCCTATCTAGTGTTTTATCCATTATTTGATTAGTTTACCTAGTGTTTTATTTATTGCATTGCTGTTTTAAAGAATTTTCTGTGTTTAACACTAGTACTATATTTTCTATATCCTAAATCACTG